GGCAGTTCTCACACCTGGGATGAATGCCCTGGGGGATTAAGGGTAGCTTAATCAACTTGGTTTTCACAAGCTGTGGTGGTAGAGAAAACAGAGGTGGGGACTTCCAAAAGACACTGAAGGTTTACATTTCTTTTTAGGCAACTGAGTCCAAACACAGAAATCTGGGACATATCATCTAAAAGTCAAAACTTCAGCTGGAAAAAATGTTCCTCTAGACTTTTTTTAGATCTTTAAACTATTATTCCAGAACGTATGTTGTGAATTTTACCTACATACATTTGTGAATTTCATTGTTGCACATGAATTTAGTAGCATTTAAGTATTTGTGGATCAGTAAAGGTCAGATCCATTTACACAACTGATGCCAATGTTAGAAGGGCTTTATTCCATACTGACATTTATTTTACTAATTAAAAATAATTAGGTAAAGCATGCAGAGCATGCCTTCTGTACTTCTTTTCAGCCCCTTTAAAATAACTCTGCTCTAGTTACATGATTGGAAAGAAGAGGGAGGGAGATTTAACAATGGACTAGTTAGCAACATTCTAGCCCACTACTGAATTGTCTTCCTCTTATAGATACATTGGGATATTTTTCCCTTAAATTGTTTTTTCTCTGCAGTCCATGGCTGGATTTGGCCCTTTTCAGAATCAACCTTTCTTTTTTTGGCCTCTCCTCCTAGACCAAATTTGATCCTATTCTGTTTTCGGAGAGTTATCCTGGTAATGGACAGAGTATCAACCCCTTTATAATTTCTTTACAATATTCTATTGGGTTAAAAATAAAACATGTAGGAAAATTCTTAAAGGTGACATTTGTAACAAATGTTATTTTTATATGCACCTTACCTTAATTTATTCAAGTGTTAATTCATTAATTATTCAAGAACTTTTTTTTTAAAATGTGACTTATTCTGCTATCATTCTTTGATACATACATTCCTCAGATGCAGGTTTCTTTATTGCCAGTTTTTCCAAAACACACCGGGCTTGACATTAATGCATGTGCTCCTGTGAAATTGGTTGAAAACAGAATGTGTAGAACTGCTCAGTGAAAAAAATCTTCACTTTTTTTTTTTACATTTCTAGAAAAATGTATGCAACATGCCTATAAGCATGGGCATCTCCCCATGAAAGAGGGAACCCTCTAATTTCCTGATTTTAGAGAACAGTGCAGCCGTGTGTAGGCATGTTGCAGCCTATGAGCAAGATGCTGTCTTTTGAAGACATCACAAGCCTCTGGGAAAAACTCAAGAGCTTCAGTTAAATAATTAAACCTGTTCAATAGATTTTCTTAAATCAGCATCCCCCTCCCAGAATGCTGGCTGGGGAATTCTGGGAGTTGAAGTCCACTCATCTTAAAGTGGCCAAGTTTGGACAACACTGGCTTAAATCTAAGTAAGAAGCACACATTTCACGTCATCCTTTTGACTGTTTTTTCCCCTGTGAAATGAGATGTAAATCATGAGATTATTAAAGAGCAATCAATTGAAAGATTGCAGCTTTGCATAAAAATTATTCACTTGAAAATAAGTTCCCGTGAATGGGACTTTTCTCGAAATATGTTTGTCAGAGTGCCAGTTATCTCAGTGGCAAAAGCTATTTCCTATATAAGTGATTTTACTCCTTTTTTCCTAATTTGTCCCAGAGTTTTATGTGTATTTTATTGGATATTCTTAATTTAGGCTGTACTGTCATAGGCTGATAAGAAGTATATGAATTTTTTTTTTTTGCAGTGTTACTTTTTCATAAATTATAGTTAGCCATTTAACCACTTTAATAGTATTTTTTTAAAAAAAATACTAAAGAATAATTTTTTGAAGGTTTCTTCTATTTTGTTCATGGACTGGATTCTCTGATTATTTTTAAAGCAAGGAACTATTAAAAATGTAAGTAGCCCTGCAAAATTAAGGTCAAGCTAGAGCTGCTTTGTGGGTGTCTAGGGAGGATGTATGACTATTTATGACCAATGGTACTTTGCTACTGATGAGCACCCATGCTGATTTAATATGATACTGAAGGAAGCAGACCAGCTTTTTAAAACTGACTGCACTGCACATTTAAAATGTCAGTGTCATGTTGATCTGCCATATAAATCTTTCATTACTGCTTTCATTGCTATATGTAAGGATAACTTATTAGCTAATAATCTAAGACAGCCTTCCTCAACATGGTGTCCTCCAGATGGGTTGGACAGCAGTTCCCATAATTCCAAGACCAATCACTAGAATGACAATAATTTTTCATTTGATTATATTCTAGCATGGAGACTTTCCAGAAGAGAAATGTTCATGAGCATTGTAAAAATAATTACTCATATAAAAGGGAGAAATTGGAATATCTGAAAATATTACTAACTGAAATAGTTGCCTACGAATCAGACTAATTTTCCCCATATTGTATGATTGTCATTAAAAATGGATAAGCACTTAAATTTATTTTCTCAGTTATCTTCAAATGTCTTAAGATTGCTTGTGCTAGAGTATGAGATTCAGCAATGAAGTTAAGAGATCTTTATATAAGAGAGTTCAGTATGGAAGGAATTCCTTTGGTCATAAATTTTGTATACAGGATCTCATCATTCATATGGTTAATACCAATTAATAGCTTTATCTATTATGCAAATCCAAATCTGCATCCATAGAAAAGTTCATTTTCCAAAAACCTGGTGTACACATAACTCACAGTTTGATTCATGGGACGAGCCCTCAGGATTAAATGAATTCTAACTTCAATAATTAAACAATAAATAGAATGGAGTCAGAAATGGTCAGTTGCATTTTTAAAAATGAAGCATACCTCATTATCTTCACATTAACTTACAATGGTGGGCGGGGGCTGAAGGATCCCTGAAACTTTTCTGCAGCATGGGAATTTCTGTCAAAACCTTGGATGACCTGATTACTTTTAGATGATGACTCACAGGAGAAGACAGAGTGATGGGTATTTATGTAAACTTCTTATTGTATCTAACATTCTTTGTTCAGAGACAAAGGGGCGAAGATTGGATTCAATATACCTTACATATGAAGCAAAGCTAAAGCATTTGAGTTAAAAGTGTAGCTAAAATGTCATGATAGAGGTTATAGTGACGCATAAGAGTTTTTCTACATCATTGTGTGAGGGATAAAAAATGATTAGAGGTCCATTGCAAACTGGAATTCATAGATGAGAAGCTGAAATAATGCCAAAGAAGTATTAAGCTAAAGAAAATAAAACTATATACAGAGTGCTATGATCAGCATGTAAGGTATTTTCCAGATGATGAAAAATCAAAACTCTATTTGTTTAAAAAGGTCAGGTACAAATTAACAATGCTGCCTTGCTATGGAGAGAATGAAAACGACAGGCTGGTGTCTGTTTCTTTCCTTTAAAAAGTTTGGGTATGGCTCTTAAGCATGATCTGAATTAGGACAATGATGTTAAGTAGGAGACAGCCTTGCTACTGTTTGCAATCTTTTTTCAAAGAAAATATATATTAAAAAGATTGTATTTTTCATGAAATGGAATATCAGAAAGACCTAGTTCCTAAAAATGATCATACAAAATAAAAAGTTATCATCTGGCTGGGGATGGAAAGGAAGGATGCAACAATATGGCCTTTTGCTACAAACTGCCTGTGATGTCCACATATATATCCAGTCCTGTATCCCCAACCATAACAGTAGATGCAGATGACATTTGGGCAAATAATGTTCAAAGTATTGTTCTCCAAGGAACTGTTACGAAAAAGTTGATTTTCCTGCATCCATAGAAAGATTAAATTATCTCAATTTTTTTTTAATTGGCAAGCAAATACTTAAAATGTAAATCAAGACTGTGCTGCCATATTAGCACTGCAGAGAAAACACTGCTGACGCTTAAAGAACAGTACATATTTAAGATTTATAGTGATTTTTTGGGTGGGTGTCTTATCTCTTTTTAAACTTTGTCAGAGTTTAGTCAGTTACCTCAGGAAAGGTCACAGTTTCTCATGGGCCCTACTATAGTAGCAAGGCAAAAACAGACTCTGCTCCCATTTTAAAAAACTCCTGAAATTAAACACCAAGGGTAACATTTAGAAAAAGTTAAACTCTGTGATTCTGTGTCAGTGGCACAGAGGATATTAGTTGGTGTTTTAAACTCTATCCCTATCTCTTAAATTCTTTGGTAGGCTTCTAGAATGAGGTAATTTCTCCTTGTTATAAATTACTGTGAGAAAAGCTAAACCAAAGAGAAACACAGAGCATGGGAACATTAGTTGTACTTCCATTTGGAAAAGAAAATAACCTTAATAACTTAATAACCTTTTCAGTTTGTAATTGAATTTTTTTTTTAATTAGAAAAAGGCCAGTGGAGCTGTGAGATTCCCTTTAAGAACCTGCCAGTAAGCTAAAAGTTTTTTCTTGATGGTAGGGAAAAGTAAAATTACTTTTGAAAGTGAAACTTGACACAAGATATAGAACATTCTTCACTATTTGTCTGCCAACAAAGACTTACCTCTTCAAATAATTAAACCATTATTAAGTGTCAGAATAAAAACATTTTGCCTTTTGTGAAATTCAAACACACCATATCTAGGCTGTAAAACTCTAGAGCAGTGTTGTCCAACTCATATAAAAGGGAGAAATT